CTCTGCCCCGAGTCCCATCTCACTTACGGAAGCGGGAAGCCTGGGAATGGGACCAGTTGTCTCTGCTGCAGTCTCCAGCCTGGGGATCAGGGATATTAACAACCCATTGGGCTCCATCCTTGGCCTCCTGTCGCGATGGGCAAAAGGTACAACTTATGCAGTTCAGGGGGGGAAATAAAGAATGTCCACACACTTCTGCCCCTTTCAATGCTTTATGCACTCAGATCACTCAATACAGTTTCACTCTACAGGTTCTTAATCAAGAAAATGGCAATCCTAAATGCTGGGCACTGCGTAGACATAATCAATTCACAGCAACAAGTCTAGATTGATTAATTCACAGCAAACGATTCTAGACTAACTAATTCTAAGCACTGCAAACACACTTGATCATGACAGGCTGGTGACAGGCACTCCCTCTGCGTGCCAAGTTCAAGTGTCAGATCAGAAGTCTCAGCCCCAGGCCCTAAGTCCAGCAGATGCCCACTCACTCAGACCTCAGCGATCAGTCAGGAACCGAGAGGCAGGCTTCTCCTGGGGTGGAGCTGACGGCTGGCTGGGGAGACGGTCATGGGAGAAGTCCTTTTCTCACCAGAGTCAGGAGGCTGCTGTGCAGTTTGAGAGGTGAGAACCACGCAGAGGATCAGGCGGAGGGGAAGAGCTGGGAGGTCAGTCCAGGTCCTCAGCAGGCTCTCAGGCTTGTGTGCGTCAGTGTCGGCTGGCTGGACGTCTGCTCATGTGCTCCATCACTTAGACTGAATTTGGGGGCATCCGACCACCCTTTTAATCCTGCCACCGGGTTTCTCAGTGATGTCATTTGCCCTGGTGTTAAGGCATCTGGTCTGGAGGTCCTCACCCTGATTCTCCTGCCTCTCCCCCTTATTGGGACAAGGAGAACATGACAGAGACTTCGTGCTGAGCTTGTCAGGGTGGGGAGAAGTGACTTGTTCATGTCAGGGCTGTGCCTCATGCCCATACCGAAGGGCTCCGTAGGCACCTGGTGAGACCGCAGGTTTCAAAGTGGAGTTTTTAAATGGAGTTGCTTAGGCTCAGACCCCCTCACCCTGTTTTCTGCTGCTGCCTTTGGGGAGGAGACTCTGGAGCCCTCTGAACAAGCGGAGTTCGCCCTGCAGCGGCCTCCTCTCCAGACCAGCCCTGTGCCTCTGGTGGCACCCGTCCCTGCTGGTGCCCCGGCCCTCTTTCCTGGGGTATTAAATCAGAAATGGCTCTATGCTGTCTCATTTCTATCTGACACCTCATCAGAGGAGGGAAGGGCTGATCACTTTCTACCAGTTTGATAATACTAAAAAATCCAGATATTTCTGTAGCCCGACGGTGTGGACCAGTAAAAGATGACCCAGGGTGGATTTACTTTGTTTTTATTTTGATTTCTTGGCTGTGTCTTGAACCTAGTAGGCAAGACCTCTACCACTGACCTATACCCCTAGAGTGTGTTTTAAATAAAAATGTTTTTACTTTCTGGACCCTGAACATTGTAAGATCAATGTTTCTCTCTTTTTAAAAAGAGAAGTAACCGATTATTACATATACTAGAAAAGTTCCCAGTGTCCAGGCTGCCACCTGCCCTTTTCACCCCAATCTTAAACAGCTAAGCACAGA